CCTGCAATAATCCAATAAACAATGTACTACAGCAAAAGATTTTTTTTTCCCCTTATACTAGCATTAACATTTCAACTGAGCACATGATGGAGAACTGTGAAATGAAATAATTTTTGTTTTCAATACTATCCTAGAAGCAAGGGTTGTATTATGTAAAATTAATATGCTCTTTCTTTTAAGATTACTGATCCTTATAGATAAAGCATTTTATTTCTGGATCACTATAGATTACTGACCCTTTTTAAACTCTTCTTAAAAAACCAAAAGCTTTTTATGTGATCATTGGTATGGTTGGTGATTCTGGACATGAAAGATCCAAAAGGAATGAAATCATAGTTTAAGAAAAAAAGTATTCCTGTTCAACTTTTTTAAACAATTACTCTTCTTATATCTGTATGACACCCTGCATTTCATTGATATATTTCAAAACTTGAATTTAATTTGAGAAATATATCAAACAAACTAATAACTTTCTTATCATAGTAGAAGTACAGTGCAAAATTACTGTATAGTGGACGTTTACTATCACAATAGGACTATTAAATCCCCATCATAATACGATGTAAAAATCACTAATATTATAGAAATTCCACACCATCATCATAGAGGAATGTTCTTGACATAGTCCATATATCTTGATTGCAGCTAGCAGAGTTTGGGAAACAGCAAGTTTTTTAGCTTAAAAAGGCAAGTAAAACCATATTTATTAAAACCTTGACCTATTTCAATTTGGGGCTTCTAAAACTGAACACTAAATTCTGATAATTTTACAGCAATGTTAACCAAGTTTTAATTTCATTTGGCTTATATGTCCTAGACATATAAGTGTATTTCAGAGTTAGTTAGATTATAAAGACTGCACATCTTACAATTTGCATAGTAAGATACAAAGGCATCACAAAATAAAAAATGTGTATCACCTATTAGTTCTCAGTAACTTACACAAAAATCACAAGTCACAGAATAATACACTACTGTCAGTGGAGCTCATTTAAATTAAACCAGGATTATATTAAAATCTCTGTCACAATATTGTTCCATTACACTATATAGGCAGTAGAAACTGGAAGCAGTCAAAGAAATGCAGTACTTAATTGCTCAAAACGTAGTAAAACCTTATATTTTTCATAAATAAGAACCTTAGTTGTCAGCATGTAACATCTTTGAATGTTTCCACACAGTTTTATCACTACTTTTGAAAGATTTTACTTTGGCATAAAAGCACAGGGAATTTGTTTAATGTGCTATTTCATGTTCTTTCTACCTGCCAATACGATTTGTTGTGTTGATATTTTTCCCCCATTTTTTACTAAAAGCTGTTTAACATCACTTGATTTCATTGTAGTAAATACTGAATAATATCCATCCTGCAATACACCTCTATAGTTAGAAATACTTCAAAAAAATTCACCTAAAATCTTTTGCTTAAACCAGTATTCTCCAGGGCTCAGAGACATTGTCTCACACCAACCCTAACTGGCTTACAAGCCAGCTGTAAACTGGACTTTTGCATGGTCACTATATTTCAGTAAGCAAAAGGCCCAGCTGACTGAGTAGCAACAAAAGTAAGGACTCTTTTAAAAAGAAATGTAGCTTCCAAATTATAAAATGTAAAGTTAAAACATTCAGAAGAATATTTAAAAAAAAGATTGGTTAAATACACATTTCAATGAAATTTTATTTTTAACGCTTGCATTTGTCTCTTTGTTACTGTAGATAACCTTATCCGACAACTTTTTAAAGCATAATTTACCTTTTCCTTTAACAAAGGTTATAACAATATCTGCCAGCATTTGAGCAGCAATATTTAGACTTTGCTTCATGAAAATTACACAAGACTTTTCTGAATATAGCTTTTCTTTGTTCATCCCAGCAAATAAAAGAAAAGTTTCTAAGTGGGAGCAGGAAGCTACAAGCACCTGCTAGGAAATAAACAGATTCCAGTATTTATTAATACTCTTATTTTTTTCAGTGATTGGTGTCTGTCATGCTGAACACACCCACATTTTACAATTTCAGACTTCAGTTTTTTGAAAAGGTAGGATTAAATGATAGTGTTGAGAGCAAACCTGTATCCTGCATACAGTTACAGTTTAGTTCTTAGATAAGAAGCTTTCACATTTTCTCAGACTTCAATTACTTCAGTATTAATTCAGTGTCTAACACACTCTTTATGGAAAGTATTTGCTCATTCCTCCTTATTCGATAGGTGTTGATATTCACTAGGTATTGTCACCACATGCTTAACTTTTTCCTACTGCTCTACAGAAAATTAAACCAAGTTATGAGTTGTGAAACTCTAAAATGTATACATATATTTTAAATCAATGTGCCTCTGTGGATGATTTAATCTTCCTATTACATCTCTGTTTAATGATAGCATCAAAAGCTTGGTACTGACAGTGACAGTCAAGTAGTATAGTGTTAGAGGGCTGTTAGCATTATCTGGAGGCCAGCTCCATAATTATCTTTTTGGAGACTGAAATCTTGTAATTTCACACAGCATGTGGTTTCAAAGGGCAAATTAATTTTTATAAAGGCACAGGGGATGCTTCTGCATGGTGGTTGTGAGAAAACATCCTGTTTACATATCTTGCTTGTAAAGCAAATATGCAGGGACACATTCCTTTTACCATTTTTAACATGCCTTGCGATTTGTCCAGAAAAGCCCTCTGATGGAGGGGAAATATATCACAGTGTCACCTCCAGTACATGAGTGTGCACACAGCTGTTTCCTTGGGAAACAAGATCACCATCTCCCTCTCATCTCTCTCATATGTCATTCTAGAAATCAAAACAGGTTGTTACAAAAAAGCTATCCTGAACATCTGCTTTTTCAGCAATAAAAGCTTTAGGTCAGTCTCCTGAACGAAGGGATTCAACAAGCCTGAATTTCCAAACATATGATTAAATTTTACAGTGATACACATATGAAATACCTAGCTGTACTTAGAAATGTGGCATCTCTGTGGCATCATGGAGAAAAGCTGAGGGTTTCAAGCAGAAACAGGCAGCTCTAAAAGACTTTAGGCACTTTATGAGCAGGGACTAAGCATACTTGTAGGATATTGTGTCCCTGCCTGTGGCAGGAGGGTTGCAGCTAGATGATCTCTAAGGTCACTTCCAAACCAAACTATTTTCTGCGTAGATTGATTCTGCGTAGAGCTTCCTTTTACTTTCCTTCGAAAATCTGTGACCATAGCATACAATTTTTAAAAAACATTAATGGACAGTTAATGGAACTTATCCATGATCTTCAGTTTGGCTAGGCTTTTCAGGAAAGATTAAAGGCTTTAACATACCCATTCATCCTTTTGCAAGGCATTCGTGAGAAAGCTCCAGGTCACATAGTTTTAATAGTTCATATAAAATAAATCTATACAAGGGGACATCAGAAAGTTAGTAATTTAGTATTTATAAAAATAACCAGAAACTTTTTTGTTGTTTCTGCCTCACGCCTACGCCAACTTTAATTTCTCCTAAATGGCCAGACTTGTGCTATGTATTGAAGTGTTCCAAGGAGTTGTCTGTCTTCCTAAGAAAGGTTAAATTTCCTAAAATGTATAAACGGTTTTCAGAAGCACAGAGGTGAAAAATGCTGCAATTAGCCATTTCCAGAAGTGCTTTTCTTAGGCACCCTTTACCACAGAGAAGAAATGTTGCTTCTACGGGGTGCGGTCTTCTAGTACTCTAGGGCAGACTGACATGGGTACCAACTGAGCCCATCATGTACCCTCTAGGGTAATGAATCCTTCTGGCTGCACTGCAGTGCTCTGAGGCATACTTCTATCACTTATCCTACATATGGTGTATGTATTCCATAATAAATGTACACTTGATACAAGAATGGAAATGCGTGAAATATGTAGGTGAGAAGCTTTCAAAACAGGAAACAGGTGTCAAAGTTGCATTACTGTTAACATTTAAAATCTACTCATTTCCTTATGATATAATCACTTTAAACAAGCTCCAACTATGCAACATTAAAACAGAATTTTAAAAGTGAAAATTAATTTTTCACCTGCTTTGTCAGTTTTCTAACCTGATTCATTAAATTCCTTGCAAAATTAATTAAGATACAGAATTTAAACCTGATTAACAAATACCAATTTTATTAATGAAATCTTTGGTTTTAACTGTTAAATAGGAAAGAAATTAAAATTAAATGCATAGCAGGAAACAATCTCCTTTAATGTTCTAAACCATTGGTTTATTACATTAATTTTAGACTAACTGTATTTGACCTTTGCTCTAATAATAGCTGCCCAAAAACTTGAAGAAACTAGTGTATTCATACTGAGACATAATACAGCATGCCTCACATTTCCCCTGTAGTTTACACACAGTGTGACCACAAGTTTGTCTTTAGCTACCGTGTAGCTGAAATACAATGGAGAGTACATGAAGCCAAGACTCAAGTGCACAGCTATGAGTAACAATTAGACCCTGATGACTTTGTATCTCTGCTTCTGCATCTCCAAGTACAACAGACTAACCAATGTGTTCCTCTTGGCGCCTCACAGCCAGCCCTTCTAGCAAAGCAGAATTGTTTGTCTCCAATAAAAATGTAAAAGTGCCACAAAGTGTCAAATCTATCACAAAGAAGATAACTTTTCTATGAGATGTATAAAACATATGCAGATAAATAAAACCTACTGAAAAGTAAATCCAAAGATGATTATTTAATCATACTGATGTACTCATCTGAGGAAAACCAAGAATAAGCTGCCTTTAAACTGCCTTTTTTTTTTTAATCATCTATGAAATTTACTGTCATCTGAGTTTCCCTCATTTCTCTTGAAGATTCAGACATATGTGAATGTCTTCCTTCTCTTCCAAGGAGATAGGATATTTTTTTCCCTTAAGTTTCTGCACCAGTTTTCTCCTATGTTAGCTAAAATTGATCATAGAACGGTTTGGGTTGAAAGGAACCTTAAAGATCATCCAGTTCCAACCATTCTGCCATGGACAAGGACACCTTCCACTAGACCAGGTTTAATACTGGTGTTCCTCTCCAGGGAAATTTTTAGTAAAAGGTGAAAGATTCATGCAATCTGAAGAGAAACCAGAGTATTAACTGATATTCTTGGTTGATTGTAACTTCATTCATTTCAACATAAAACATGTTAGTACTTCCATTTCTGATTTTTGCCTAAAATAAAGCAGGTAAGTTCTCATTTTTACTATGCAATATCCAGGAGTTAAAACAAACAAAAAACCCAAACCAACCCACCAACTAAAACCCCACAAGACTTGCTAATTATACAAGGAAATCACAACTAGATTTTGGTTTGCAATAATTCGGATATGACCATGTAAAATGTTATCTTTGTAGCAGTGATTTCAGTAAGTAGAATTTAGCATATACTATATTAAAGTGAACAGTACTATCAAATGTGTAATCAGTTTAATGCCTACTAGAACCACAATTTGCTCTATATCCATTTAACACAGGAGATATTTTCAATCAATTAATAGGCTTTATCTAGCTCTGAATTCCGTGACCTAACACTTATGGAATTGTTGCTTTTATCTTTAATTTTTTCCTTTTTTTTTTTTTTCAAACCACTATCACACCTAGCAATTATTCCAAAAGCTATTTTGAAGCTGCATGCTTAAAAAAAAACAAAAACAAGCACCAGGTTGCAATTTGTATTTGTTAAACTGAAAAATATCACCTGGTTATCCTTTTGATGAATCCAGCCATCAGAGAAATTAGCATGAAAGGCTAGCTCATGCAGAGAGCAATGCATAAATGAACATTAAATTATACAACAAATAAAAGACATCATTTATTTTTATTATGAGCCTGATTCTGGATGCTCTTATTCATCACAGTATCCCTATTCAAATCTAATAGTAAATAGAAATATAGGAATTGTCATATTGGATGAGATCCAGACTATGTTATTCCCTCTTTCTAAATGGCTGTTTCACATAACTGTGTAAAATGCAAACAGGAGGAAGCTGGGGAATAGGCTAAAAAAAAAACCCACCACCACCCCAAAAAAAAACAAAAACCAAACCAAAACACAAACAAACAAAACACACACACACACAAAAAAAAAAAAACAAAAAAAAACCAACAACAATCAATATGGGTTTTATTCTGATCTCTGGCTTTTACCCCAACAGATAAGATGTACTGTGACTTCTAAAATGGGGGAAGGTTATGAAACCTCTAGATGTTCCTTACCGTCATAGAAATACCCAGATCTTTTCTGAACCTTTAGTCTGATCCAAAGTGCACTGCACTCAATGAAAGGACTTCCAGCTTACTTTTGGAGTGAGCAGCCAGTCTGTGCCACAAAGCATGGCAGACTTTCACTCTTCTGATGGTCTAGATCACAAGTTTGCAGCCCATCACATCTTTTTTACCAGAGCTTTCCTTAGCTTTTCTTCCTATGAAACCAAAAAAAAATGCTTATGTGGGGAAAAGAACTAGTGTGCACTCAGGACTTGCCAGTTATATGGCTGGGAGAGAGCAAGAACACTCACCTAGACCCAAACAAATCTGGGAGTACTTCCATGCTATAAATTTAGATGTAATTACCCTAATTTAGCAATCTCTAGATTACAATGTGAAGACTTGTGTTGGGAGTAAGCTTCAGTTGTATTTTTAGGTAGACACAACAAAGTAGTATGTGTTATAGCTACACTTTCCTTGTGTAGATTTATCATCAGCTATCTTTCGACTCCATCCTCATTAGTAAGCAGGATACAGCTACAAAATCTGCTGACGGCTTATCTAGATGGTCTTGAATTATTGATCAGTATCTAAATTGTACCTGATGGAAGCTGGAGGAAAAGCCTAACCACGTAAAGAGCATAAGCTTAAGTGTGGAATGGAGCTGCCTAAAAACAGTGTTTTCCATAGTCAGGAAAAAAAGAAGAGGACCTTAGTGGCTAGCTTCATAAATGTTGTAGGACAGCTGATTTCCAGACTCTAAGGGGGTCATATCAATCTCAAGAGCCAGATAAATATTGTCTGTAGCTTGTACAGTTTTGTAGCATAGTAAGCAGGGAATCTCACTGGATGGACTGGTTTAGCTTGGGTAATATCTACTAGGCTATACTAAGAATTCTTCACTCAGTCTACTCAGATAACTGTTGCATATATATAACCTCTACAGATTTTAGCTTTATAAACTCATGCTCTGGGCAATTAATTACATCTTGGTATAGCTCCAGTTGTCAAGCCTTTAGAGGATACCCAATCTATTTGTTAACCATGTATTTCTAACATACATCACTGTGGACCAAATTCCATGAAAATTTATTTTTACCTAAATGATTTGTTTATCAGTTTTATTAAGAAAAATCTTTTAAGAAAAACCCAAACCCACAAAAAACCCAAAACAAAAAACCCAAACTATTCTAATCTTTACCTTCTGAGCATTACATAGGCAAATATTTGAAGATACTGTTTTCAGTTTTAAAAGAGGCTTGTGATGTTTCACTCAGGCTACAGCTGATTTCCTCAGACAACAAAACTCAGAAATGTGTTATTCTAAAAGCAGAGGCAAACAACCTAACAAGTCCTCTGTTGGCACGGCAATGCAACTCACTGAAACTAATTCAGATCTTTGGCAATGACAATAAAATATTATTTTTGAAAAATATACTAGTGAAACATTATTTCATTCCACAATTTCTTACTTTGGGGTGGACATTTGAGAGGGTGGAAGGTGTGTTTTTTGGGGATTTTTGACAAATCATGTTAAACAATTCTGTTTCACATAGTCTGATTTCTCTGGATCAATGTTGATACAACCTCTTTTCACTCTTTTGTACCATAGTTTGACTGTATTCCCACCTTGACATTTACTATTGCTCCTGAAAACTGCTATTACAGACAGGTCTCAGTGTACAAGGTAATTAATACTCTCAGCTTCTATTCAGAGACAGTCACTAGATAAGATGTCTGGAAACAGATATAGAAGCACTAGAGACTATAAGCTCCTTTTTCTTTAGTATTTATCCATATCAGAAAGAAAAACGGGTAAGGGTGATATTTTAGAAATCATCATGTAACACTATAGCTGCTGAACAGACAGAAGTGGTCAGAGCTCCAGCTAGAAATCATGAAGACCATGATTTCAGTGAAACTGTGCAAAAGAAAGATATAGTTTAAGTTATATTTGATACGTGCTCATCAAAAATATGTAAGACTTTTAAAAAAATTACAGAAAAGCCCTTACAGTGTTGTGGATAAGCAACAAGAAAACAATTTTCGAAAGCATAGGGGAATATGGTATCATTTCCATCTCAACCAAAAACTTAGGGATCTCCTGTGCATATTCATTCTTTTTTTAGATATGAAAGTCCTATCTTCTTGACTACAACTTCTAGTTCTGCTGATAATTTTATAGAAAACAGACTTGTTTCATACTATCCAGAACCCACTTTTTCAGCCCTGTCCATTTCCTGGCCTGGAAAGCAAAGAGACAGGGTCAGTCCCAGCTTCAAAGAACTCTTACTGGCTTGAGCACTGGACAAAAAGGAGAGAAAAAACAAAGTGCAGAAAGGCAGAGTACTTTATCCAAATTCAAACAGCAGGTAAATGGAATAAGTTGCAACAGATGCTACAACACCCAAGAGAAGCTATCAAGAAAGGTTTCAGCTCACATTCTTTCCTGTGATACAAGATACCTTGCAATTCGACAACAAAACAAAGCCACCCTCATGGTTCTGACCATTTGATAGCTAATAAGGGAAGCATAATAAACCTTTCTAGTGTTTGAAAGTGTTTCCAAATGGCCCCTAGAAAAGCCTTATACTTATTTACAACTTTCCTGAAAGGCATGCAATTGGGAAATTATTTGTATACATAAACAGGAAACTGATTTTGGTTGGTTCTATGCCCATGATATGGCTACATTATTCCATTTCAACCATGCAATACTAAAAATGGCTTTGACACTTTGCAGTTTAATATGCTGATCTCTTTAATTTTCACTAATGCTTCCATTGGAAATAAAACTCCATGAGACTAACATTGTGTTCTTTCCATTAAGAAGATGCTGAGATTTTCTGTGAATAGTCCATATCTATTGTGTTGTGGTTTTATCAATCACAGCATCACAAATCAGAGTACTAACAAATTCCTTCCTCATGCACACACCATTTTAGGAATGACTTCAGTAGGAGTTTTGACAATTTAAGTACTGCAATTTGGGGACTAAGTCATGCTGGAGTACTGACATCTAATTTAAGAAATAAGTTCTCTAACTACTGCTCTGGCTTCTCTTTGTGTTGGACGTGATTTTTCTGGTGTAACTTTTTTTTTCTTTGGTGCTTTTAGGAATGTACTTTCATAAAGCTAACTTTCCATCATTTGTATTTATCCTGTGTTCCAATGTTACTGAGATTCAGTTCAGAACTAAGGTTAGAAATAACACACAGAGTGAAAGGCAGGCAGGAACAAGAAAGGGTGGAAAAAGCCCATTCCCTGGAGCTCAAGTCTCTCTCCTTCGAAGGCAAAACCATATCCTCTTAAAAATGCTGTTTCATATGGGAAGCTATTGCATTTTGAAAACTGGATTCAATATGCTAGTCATACTTAATTAGCTCTGTGTTTGATTGTTTCTTTTTTCAGGTCCTTTTCCTCCCTATATGTGCAAGTATTTTTCAGATTTTTTAAAAGGGTTTTAAATTCCTAATATTATTGTATAAGAAATAACTACTTGATCTATCATCATTCCATCATGCTTTTGACTTAGACTGAATTACATCAAAACAACGAAAATTGGGTTCCAGCCAGATTTCCCATCACACCTTCACTTTTAAGGAAAGAAACTCTCACAATAAAGGACAAGATGGAAATGATGAAAAATTTATATAAACATTTAAAAGATGATAAAAATTTGCAAAACTTATTTCTGCAATGTACAAAATTCAACCTTACATTGTAAAGAAAATAAGGTGTGTCTACAAATCAGTCTAAGTTTGTCCTTGTATTTCTTGCACTTCATTGCTCTCCCAGCTATTGCCACTTATTTACATCACACAATTTGCAATTACTTACACCAATGCCACTGGGAATTCAGAAGAAAAATGCAGGCATTG